CTGGAAAATTAATTAAGAAGCCTATAGTAAATACTAGTAATACTAAAATTAGTTAAATAATTCTAGTAAAGCCTACTTATAATAAAGATTTATTATAGGTTATTAATTCTAGAAGCTTTTATTATATAACTTATTTATAAAAGGCTTTTACTAAATATAGAATACTAGATATTTTTATACTAGTAATTATAATAAATAGAACCCGAATTCCGGCTATTATAAAAGATATTATACTTTTATAAATAGCTCTAAAAGCCTTTATATAAACTATAAAGCTTACTAGAATACTTTATATACCTAAGCTTACTAGAAACTTAATTTTAGTATTATAATTTTAGAATAAAAGTATTATTATATATATTATTACTAGTTTTACTAGAAAGAAGCTCTTAATTAAGTTTTAGGAAATAGTAATAGGAATTACTAGCTATTTAGAAAAAGTATATATTCTAAATAGTATTTTATAAGATACTAATATTAGACTAAAAGTAATTACTATACTAGAAAACTAAACTAGCCTCTAGTATTACTATTTTAATTATTTGAGTCTTATAAGTCTAAAGCTAGAATATATTATTTCTATAGAATTTAAAAAGCTAATTAGGGCTCTTTAAAAGCTTTATAAGCCTTATATTAAGGCTAAAATAATAAGACTAATAAACTAAAAAACTTTTAAGAGAATTATAGCTTTACTAAAACGAATTTATAATAATTTTTAGAGCTTTTATAATATATTTATATTAGAAGAAAATACTTATATATTTATATTTATAAATTATAACTATATTTTACTAAAACTAGAAAATAACTAAAAACTATATTTTTATAGTTTAAGGCTCTAATAAAGCTAGAATTAGAATATAAAATTAAGGCTATATATTATAATAATACTTTAAAATATAAGTTTTTAAGGGCTTTATTATTAGATAACTATAATATATAATTTAAATATATTATTATTTATATTTCTAAATAAAATAGGGTTTCTAAATACTTGAATTAGAGCTTAATATTAGTAACTAGAACTATATTATTAGATACTAAGCTTCTTATATAGTTCTAGAAAGAAGCTATAATTATAGTCTATTATTTACGGAATTAAATACTAATAGACTCTAATAAAAATATTTCTAAAAAAGCCTATAATAAGAAATATTCTAATATTTAATATTTTAGGATATATAAATATAATATATATATATATATTTCTAAGAAAACTTGTTTAAAAATAAATAATATAGCTATTAAGGCCTATTTTATAAACTATATACCTATATTAAAGTAATATAAACTATATAAGCCTAAATAAAGAAAAATTATAATATTTATAATACCTGTTATTTATAAAAACAAGTAATTAAAATAGAACTAGAATAAGGAATTTATTAGAAAAGAAATAGTCTTATTTAATCTAATAAAAGCTATAATAAAATAGCCTATAATATCTAAAGCTCCTGTAATTATAAGGTATTTAGGGAATATATATAACTTTCTTATCTCATTATTTAATTTCTAGTAAAGTATTTCAGAAAACTATAAGAATATTATAATAATAAATATAAGAGCTTTAGATTTTAATTTAGGAAATACTAATTCAGGGAATTCTAATTTCTATAATTAAAGAGAACTACTAATTATAAGGCCTTTAGAGTATTATATAAATATAGTAATTATAAGGTATTTAATTTTAAAAACCTATATTAAAACTATAAATAATTCTATTTATAAAGTCTATTAAAAGCAAGTAATTAGTAAAGAACTTACTAAATTACAAGCCCTTAATATCTAGAAACTAGTACTATTACTTTCTAGAAAGAAAGCTATAGGCTATAAATAGGTATTTATTATTAAATATATTCCTATAAGCCTAATTAATTAGTATAAAGCTCGGCTAGTAAACTAAGGCTTTAGTTAGGTTTTAGAGAATAATTTTCTAAAGACTTTTAGCTTTATTATTAGGGCTAAAAGCCTAAGGATTTTACTAGCTTTAGAGGCTTATAAAAACCTAGAAATATATTAAATTAATATAATTAATATCTATTTATATTTTAAGCTTTATACTAAGATATATATATAGGCTTCTTAAATACTAAAATATATTAAAGTCTTAGTATTTCTTTTATTTAATTCCCTATATAAGTTTAAATAATTAGAAAAGAAGTAATATATTAAAGCTTATATAAGATTTAAAATTCTCGGTTTTAGTTTCTATTTTAGTAAGCCAAGTATTTTTACTATTATAGATTATAATATAATTATAGGACTTTATATAAGTAATATACTAGTTCTAGATTAAAATCTATAGGCTATTTAAAAAGTTATTAATAAAATAGCCTCTATATAAAAAATTAAGGATTTGGGAAATATATTCCTAATTTTGGGTATTTAAATATATAGAAATTATATAAAACGTATTTTATATCTTAATTAGAATAAGTATATTATAGGCCTTATAAAGAAGTTTAGATTAGAGAAAGCTAAGCCTATAAATCTCTTTATAAGAAATATAATAAATAAATATTTTATTATAAGATATTTATATTTATTTAATAAAGGATTTATTATATAGTCCTCTATTAAATAGTACTATATAGCTATTTCTATTACCTAATTAGAGTATATTAGTCTATTAGAGGCTAGTAAATAAGGCTAGTAAATTAGGGCTTTATTTAGGGAACTTAAATATATTTAATATTTAAATATTATTCTTTTAATTCCTATATTTAGTAATAATTAAGGTTATATAATACTAGCTAGAAATCCTATAGCTTATAGCTAAACTAAGTATATTAATATTTACTACTATTATATTAGAGAGCTAGTAGCCTTTAATAAGGTTACTATTAAATATATCTTTACTAAGAAAATAATAACTAATATACTTATTAAGCCCTTATTATTTGCAGTCCTTAAATATTATATTAAGGAACTATTTATACTATAATTATAGAATTATAGGCTATTTTTTGAACTGTTTTTAATTTTTGGGTATTAAGGCTCTAGAAGCTTTAGTAAGTAAAGTAGTAATTTTTGGAATTATTTTCTTAGGGCTATTTTTAGTAATATATAAGGGAATTATTAAAATTAGAGGCCTAAGACCTTTAATAAGCTTAGTAAGTCCTGAAACCGAATATTATAGGGCTATATACTAGCTTAATACCCTATTTAGCTAGAATATCTTATATAACTAAAATATTCTATATAGCTAGAATATCTTATATAGCTAGAATATCCTATATAGCTAGAATACCCTATATAGCTATAATTAGTTTAGCTAATATAGGAATTTAGTATATATAACTTAGGCAATTCAGGGCTATATATATAAGCTATTTACTACTATAGAATAGTAGTTAATTTAGTACGTTTTACTTGGTTTATATTGCAAGCACGTGACCCTAGCTTTAGCTAGTTCAACAGGAGGCGATTCTGGTATTCCTTGCATGACTAGTTTTTTTCCCAGGAGCCCCAAGAGCTAATTACTTAAGAGTAGTCCAAACGTATAATAATATAAAGAAGTGAAGTAATAATAGGAAAGAATTCATATTTAAATAATTATAGGCTAAATAAAAGGCCGAGGGACGTATAGAGAGCAGCAGAGAGCTTTAGTATTCCTGGAGCGAGTGACGCGTGGGGGGGCGCGGGCTCAAGTTTTGGTATTCCTCACGTAACCAGTTTTTTAACTTGTGGTCCGAATGTATAGCGTTGTTATATAGATTATCGAGAGAGCACCCGGTATACAAGCGGGTATATAATCAGGTCGTATTATAGTCGATTCGGGATAACGCAGTCGAATTGTACCGTTTAAGGAGTGTCGTTTTTGACTCAATCTTAGCCCTATAGCTTGCCCCAGAAAGCTATAAGTTTCCAGTCTGTACTACGAGGAGGTATTGAGTCGTTGCAGACCATAAAGTGAAGTGGATGACTTTAGTTTTGCGATGCCTGAAAACTTCGCTAAAAACACAGTCTTATAATACTACTATATAAATTAGTGAGAGTGAGTTTGGATCTAGCCATATTTAGAAGGGCACGTATAGAATATTACACCTCAACTTATAGCCATGAAAAGGAATAGAGATCCAAAAAACTAGAGTATCTATTATTTCTGGTACGTTTATATAAAATTTTAATAATTAGAATAGTGGATATATCTTAATTACTTTCTTATATGACTAGCTTCTGTTGAACTAGCTAAAGCAATATAGCTAGGGTCACGTGCTTGCAATGTAAACCAAGTAAAACGTACTGAATTGACTGCTGTTCTATGGTAGTAAGTAGCCCGTATATATAGCCCTGAACCCCCTAAGTCACATGCACTAAACCCCTAAACCAGAGAGCCTTATACTGAACCATTCAACCTCAGCTGAACTTTAGCCTCACAGGGCATATTATGCCCTGTATCAACCTTACAGGGCATAATCTACTCAGTAATAAGCCTATGGCTTAAGCCCCATTAGTACACAGCCCCTAATTTCAACAGCTTCATTGCATGTGTGTAATCACATGGTCTCGGTAAACGCTTTTTCGCACCCAAATACGGCTAGATCCAAACCCACTCTTACCAATTTCTACGGTCGGCTCGTGACCTTAAAAGAGCCAATGCGGAGGCAAGTTGCACCGCTTAGTAATTACCACCAAACAAAAGCAGTAGTTATTATTTCGTTTTTGTTACATGAATTGAAAGTGGCAGCATCAGTACCTGCTTGCAATGGTGTTTCGCATCGGTTTTCTCCATTCTGGATAGCTTCATCGAAACCCTGAGATGTCGATAGTTGACACCGGCATCGATTTGGCGGTAGAGCTCCGATGGTATCTTATCGCAGCATTGGTGACGGCATATATTGCAAAGTTGTACAGCGAATATCATCGATTGCGGGCTTTCAACGGTCCGTTTTTAGCACGATGGACAGACCTCTGGTTTGCGAAAGCCGTTTTTGGTATTAATCAGTGCGGAGTTCTTGCGGAAGTCTGCGCGCGTTACGGTATGCATCGAGCAACTCATGCTTGGCCGACAAGCGCTAACATTCACGACTGGCCCCATTGCCCGAGTTGGACCAAATACCTTGGTCACTAGTTCGCCTGATTTGGTCATGAGAATGAGTGCTGCAAGATCTCTCTACTCGAAGGCGGATTGGTATGCGGGCAGCAGAATACCACCGGGCCAGGACAATATCTTTAGCCAACAGGACGAGGAGAAACATGCTCGTCGAAGGGCACAGATGGCCGATGGGGTAAGAAACCAATACGTCTCTTCTTCCGTGCATTTCACTTATCGCAGTTAGTTCTCTGGTAAAACTAATCCGTCTCTTGAGCCAACCATCGACACCCACGTGTGCAGTCTTGTGGACTTGCTTCGACGTAAATATATCTCAACTGCAGACTCTTTTAAACCAGTGGACATGGCTCGGAAGATCGGATTCTTTACAATGGATGTCATTACCGATCTCGCGTTTGCCAAGCCATTTGGAAATCTGAAGAACGACAAGGATATGCATGATTACATCCGGTCAACGGAAGCAATGGTCCCAATAGGGCTCAGAATGACTGCTATTCCAGCTTTGAGAACCTTGTTCCAAACGGAATGGATTAGCAAAGCTCTGTTCCCTAGCGATACGAACGAGATCGGGATAGGAAAATTGATTGGGTAACAATAAGCCGTCTTTCTTTATACCCTTGTCTCAAAATCATGCGTTGGTCCTATAACTATCCCTCTAACAGAATATAAATCTTAGAATGGCCAGAAAATTAGTCTCCGAACGCTACGACATCAATAATATCGACCATCAAGACATGCTCTCATCATTCATCGCTCACGGCCTCACAGAGTCCGATTTAGTCGCCGAGTCCGTGATGCAGATCCTCGCAGGTGGTGAAACGACTGCAACCGGGCTCCGGGCAACATTTTTGTTCATCATCACTAATCCCCGCATCTATGCTACCCTACAAGCGGAAATCGACATAGCCGTTGAGACCAATGGCAAGATTTCAAGCCCTGTAATCAGGGATAAGGAATGGCGCCACCTGGCATACCTCCAGGCTGTTATCAAGGAGGGGCTCAGGGTTTGGCCCCCTGTAACCGGAATGATGAGTAAATTTAGCCCTCCTAAAGGGGATGAGTTTGATATCGATGGTGAGAGGGTGTTTATTCCCGGGGGAACCAACATTGGGTGGGCGAGTTGGGGAATCCACAGGAATAAAGCTGTATTTGGAGAGGATGCGGAGTTGTATAGGCCGGAGAGATGGCTGGATGAGGGAAATCAGGAGAGACTGGAAAGAATGCGTAAGGTTGTGGACTTGAATTTTGGGTATGGGAAATATTACTGCCTCGGGAGACAGGTGGCACTTTCAGAGTTACATAAGGCGATTTTTGAGGTAAGGGAAGAATTGAGGAATAGTATTGGATACTTGAAAGAGAATAGAGCTAATGAAAAGTGCAGTTGTTCCGGAATTTTAATTTCGAAATTGTGAATCCTTCAAGGCCATGGAAGAGCGAAAATGTAGGCATATGGATACAGAGCGGGTTGTGGGTGAGGGTTACAGAGCGGAAGTTATTCACTTGAAGCGAGAATTTCGGGGTGACATTCAGAGCGCACTCGCCTAGTTTTTGTACATAATCGCGGGTTTTCTATACTCGGGCTAAAAGAACCCCACGAGCGAACAGTGGCTTCTTATTGGAGAATAACTAATTTTTCCTCCCTGTTCTATCGAATACATATCTTCAATAAGTACTACGAAGTATTTCCCCCCACCTGTGTCAATAGTCGCTGTATCCGATTCTGAAACTTAATGCGAACTATCTTCTCTCTGAAATATTAATATGGCCTCCGGGTGTCTTCTCCCAGGAGAATATTAATTCACTGTTTCTCGAATCTCCCGCGACATGAAGGTCTAGGAGGCGGGACAACTCCGCCGAGTCCCCTAAGTAAGATATCGCCAGCAGCATGCACCCTCCCCAAACTTACACCGAGCTCGTCTATAACTCCGACACTAGGTGATAGTGTGTAGCTTATGCCTGAGTTAACTCCCCTTTGGCTTTAGTATGGAGCATTGAATAGATTATATTAAGACATAAATGAGTATGCTTTGATTTGAAAGGTATAGAGATAAGCTGTTTTGCTAACTAGTCAGAACAATAGTTTTTTTCGAGGTTATAATAGTGTCTGTTTTAAACCTTTAAAAGACTTTGCAGGGCGTGGTGGATAATGAAGCTGAGTGATGGAAAGGTTAAGCTCCTAAGTAGAAATTGCCATAAGCTACATCGGTGTATATATATATTATATAAACAACGAGCGGAAATTTACCAGTGGACATATCTTGAGACGGTAGGGGGTAGTCTACTCTCAATTAGACTAGAAGTGGCTCAATTTTAGCTCTACCCTGAACACATACCTCTTCCGCCCCTTGAAAAAGCTTGTCCAAAAGATTATCCTTTAGTGCACTTTACCTCTCACTTGTATATTCAGTTCTCTACCTGTCGTTAGAAGCCTACACGAACTCCTTTCGAGAAGAGCGCGATTGAACCGGCAGTATCAACGCTTTGCCTTTTCTTTCCTTGCTTGGGGGCTTTGCTATTGCCGGTGTCACAATAGCCATTCGCATTTATGGAGGCTTTTCGTGATACATTTGGGAGATGGCACGCGCTCCTCCCGAAGCGCGACCGCCTCGGATGATGTTTGGCGCATAAGTCTCTCCAATTGGTCTATTTGTTACCTGTCTCGAGGAGCCCAATGAGGTCAAGAATACTGACGACCTTGCAGTGGTTTGGGTGGACACACTCACCTCATATTACCTCGGTTCCTCGGGTCCTTGCAGGAGTGCTGATCGGAATTGGTTGCACGCCAAAACTCATGCCTGGGATCAATTACATCGCACTCGTTCGTTTCAATGTGCTTTTAGTTTGATGCATAGTCAAAACGTTCAATTCTTACTGTAAAATGGATAGTCGTCTGAGAGACGTTGTATGCGACCTTTTGCTTTGCCATCTCAACAACACTCACCAATTGCAAGACTCGTGTTAAGATTTGTTAAATCGGCTTTAATAAAGGCCCAAATATTATAAGTAACTCTGTGCAAAGAATAAATATAGACTACTATTTATCCACAGGCATTATGCCGAGCTTAAATAACCTATCATAATAAGATTTCGAGTGAAAAGGAATCAAACATCATTCTTTAGACGTTTTTACACCTTGCCAAACAATCTGCCGACCCAGACAAAAACTGTATGCGTATACATAACTTCAGGAAGCATCCTCATACCTCCATATCTCTAACCTGCGGCCGCAGCGAGCCGCCTTCATGCAATGCCCACTTTCCATAGACGTAATATCTGTATCTCCGTCCCCACATCGCCACTGGGAATGCAAACGATCCAACGCCGAAGATCAGGATCCCAATGAGGCACATTGTTCTGGCAAAGCCCTGCGACTCTAGCCGTGGCGTCATGACAAAACTTAAAGCGAAACTGGCTGCGTAGCTTCCACTGCCAACAATGACCATTGCGGGAGCTGCCCAACGGGGAAAGGCTTCTGTGACCCACTAAAAGTGTGCGAATCAGTCCCAGTTACTTCAAAAGCGAGACCCAGAGGAGTTTACTTACGAGAGTAGTGACAGTGAACAATGTAACACACGCAAAGGAATTCAAGCCCATAGAGAAGAAGATCCAAAACCAGTGCCACCCCCGTTCTCCTGCGAACCCATAGATAACTAGACTTGCCGGGGCGGACAAAATCGGCAGGATGAAGGCTGGGAGGTAGTGCTCCGCGTCCCGAACTCCTCCATTGCGCATGACGAGGCGGTGACAAAGCTGAGTGGTCATGATTCCCGCAGCTGGCCACGCGAGAAGGGCACCAATGACGATAGCGAGGTTGCTGAGTGACGCGTGTAGGAGCGAGAAAGCGTACGGTGGATGTACTAGAAGACTTGCGTAGGTTGTTAAGATGACAATGGTTCCACCGAAGATGAGTAGATTCAGCAATGCAACCCAGACGATAAGCGGATTAGTCAGAGCCATGACGATTTGAATGTAGCAAACGCCCATATTCCTCCACCCTCCAGGCATTTTCGTTAGAAAGTTGTATTCGCTCATCCATCTCCTCCATCGAGATTGGAAGGGTTGGTTGGGTAATGGTTTACCCCCTGGGACTTCTTCCCAGCCCTCATATATCTGGATCTTCTCTGTAGCGCTTTGCACGAGGACGTGTCCATTGAAAGCGATGGCTGGTCTGTAGAAATATGTTTCTGGGTAGCAGAAGAAGGCGAGGAGAAACGCAGCGCCACATGGGACAATCATCATGCGATAAAACGTTCTCCATTCGACTTGGATAATGGCGGGAATTCCAACTTGAAAGGCAAGGGGGAAGATCGTGACGAGAGACCAGACCATGGCGATAGCTTGAGGGCGTTGATAGATGAAGGTTAAATCGATGATCATCAGAAGCATCTTTAGTGCTGTTAGAATTTTTCAAGTCAATCCAGGTTGTGGGATGAAACTTACGCTACTAAACCTCAAAGACACTGCCAGTCCTTGTAAACATACTGCGGCCAATATCTGCTGAAAGCTTGTTGTGAATGATGCCCATATTGTTGCCACCGCCAAAATCGAGGATGTGAGCAAGAAAACGGGTCTACGACCAATGGCGAGGGAGAGAGGAACCCATAAGAAACCTCCGAGACCCATCGCCAATGACGGTGCTGTCATATACCATTCTAGACGAAAGGGAGCTACGTCCTAAGGCCATGCGCGCTATGTCAGCAAATCGAATACAAAGCTCTCAGTCACAGTTGAGGGACATACGGCGGTTGAATATTCTCTTGCAATGCTGGTATATACCAGACTCAGACCAAGTAACTGTGTGAGACCAACGGTCGCAAAGAAGATCAAACTGAAGATAGCAAATCCTCTTTTCCGAGTGCTCCAATTCAGTGGGTCTCGAGTAGAGCGAGAGGGTATTGGTAGGCTTAAAATTTTCCCGGCACCATCGATGAGAAAAACGCTTCCCGACAGGTCAGTGGACGCATGCTTTAGCAGAATGGAAGCTGTCATCTTTGTTGTATGCGAGGTTCGTCCAAACAATAGTTATTAATGATTTTCGGCTACAAAGTGGAGTCGCGCGGTGGGGAATCATGAATTATATATCTTGCATTCATATCTAAAACTTACCGGGCGGGACAGGATACGAGGGGTAAATCGAAAGATGCCTCAGGCTATGAATGGAGCTGCTGGCATCAGCTTCCCCGGAGTCTTGAAATGCTGGCATTGCACTAGGATCCCCATGAGACGCATGGACCGTTGAGACGACTGACTGGTCACTGTGACCAGTTAGACTTCTGTCAATTGGTAGAGTTTATTGTTAGAGTTTCACTTGGCACACTTCCTGTCGCCGTTCGAGGGATTAAGGTTTGTGACAGTTTCAGGACGCAGGAACCGAATGCAAAACAACCACCACAACGGGCCGAGAAGTTCCGTGCGCGAATTTCCCCTTAGTCGACCTCCTGTCCGAGAGGTTGCATCTGCTCATTGTGACTTTCGGTACGACACAATCCCCGCATACGGTTAAATTTTAGTTTAGTAATTTAAAATCGTAAGATATCTCTAGTAGTAACATAATTTATATTATAGCTATGAAGTAAACCTTTCATTTAAGCCGAGTTCACATGTCTTTCGGCTTGGAGCCTGCAAAACCATCTAGACAACGGCATTAGCTTGCCTAGTAGGGTTGCTACTTTATTGTAAAAGAAAAGTATATTATTATTACCACCATAATGTAACGATAAAAGCATTTTACACCTTACATTACAGTCATGTGACGTACTAGCCTAATCCGGCGAGCGGTAAGCAAGCGGCAGTAAAAAATCTCTCTCTTGAATTCTCCATCTCTCCTAATTATTAACCATCAATACCAAAATAATCGACAAAATGGGAGGTAATAACGTTCAGTATGCTCTTAAACATAATTGGGTTCACGAAGCCTTTGAAAAGGAGCCCTGGAAAAAAAAACCTGGACAACCCACGCAATTCGCCCATTGCCGCCACTGCAAAGACCTCAAAGACCCTCCACTACTTGTACTCGCCGCAGTCATGTAATACCCTAGCCTCATTAGGTAAGGGGGTTAAGGCGAGCTAAGCCTGAAAAGTAATAAGAATCTCCTAATATAGTATAGTCTCTTGCTTCGCTCTTGACCCTTAAATTAGCCGAGATAAGCTCGGCAAGCCCTGATTTTAGGCCCTTGAAAGCCTAAAATATCTCAGAAAGGGCCTCTAAAAGCCCTGAAAAGCCCGAAAATCCCCCCTAAGAAAAAGCACGTGCTGTAGCGATAAAAGCTCATTACGGTACGTAATGGTGGAACCTTTTTACGTTATTACGGGTAACGATACAACCCAGCAACCCTATTGCCTAGCCCTTTGGAAAATTAGTAAATTCGGCAAAGGGTAACGAGAAAGGACATACGTTCTAATGAAAGCATGAATCCCCGGATTCAGGAACTCTCTTCGAACCTTTCCCATCAGTGCATGAACCTCGATCAGGTGCCATCCAGACTTCGTGAACATTGCTATTGAATAGTTCTCCATTCCACCTTCTAGCATTTGACTCAGCCACAAAGCCCCTATCTCTTTGGGCTTAGCATCTTTAGGCCACACGCCAATTGGCACAATCTGATCGTTGGGTCGTTGAGATGAAATCTGACATCCCTAAGCCAACCCCCAATCTTCGGCGACGGAATAAAATCTCGCTTGAACCACCACGCTGTGAGAGTGGCGCTTCCACTTTAGAGCGGCAGAGTCACCACCATCCGGGCATTCGAATTCCATGCGAACATCTGAGACTTCGATACGACCACCTGGTTCGAGGACTCGGAATGCTTCTTGGAGTGGGTTCGGCCAGTCGGAATTATGCCCGCCATCTGCCGGATGTGGACAAAATCGAAAGAGCCGTCTGGATGCAGCCATATATTTGTCACGTCATCGATCTCGGATTCGATATTACGACGTACCCAGGGGGACTGAATAGGAGACCTGTCCACCCTTATGATAGTCATCGACCATATCAATCGCCCATATGCCAGTTCCGCACCTAACATCGAGGATCTTTAGGCCACTATCTGACAGTGCTGTAGCCATGAGTCAGTTGTTGAGCACTAGCTTAAACACGTGGTGTGCCATATCGAGACGATCTTATTCGATTTCGTCGTTTGCTACCAGTGTGTCTCCTTTTCAATGGCATCTATGGCCAAGTCCGTGGAGGAAGCGGTATATCGACAAACCTACCAATGACCCGTCTGACGTCGTGTTCTATTCACGTCCAGTGTGGGCAAAAACTACTCAAGCTACTCAAGCTACTCTAGAGTAGTCTTGAGTAGAGTAGAGTAGAGTTTGAGTAGCGTAATATAGTACTTGAGTAGAGTAGAGCAGAGTACTACTCTAGAGTAACTCAAGAGTAGTCAAGTAAATATAGTAAATCGGTATTCATTTAATTATTAATTAATAAATAAGATACCCATTAAGTAATAGCATATAATTTAAACTAGAGCTTATATAAGGCTATTTAAATACTAACTTTTTCTATAAAAAACAGATTTCCGTCCTCGAAATCTTTCTTTTCCTTCTTTTCTTCTTCTCTTTCTACTTCTTCTAATTCGCCTTTAAATAACCCTCAGCTTTTTAAGCAAGATATTATCTTAATAGTACTCTTACGAGTTTAGGGCCGCTTTACTAAAATTATTACTAGCGGTCCTATACAAGCTCCGGGGCTAGTAATAATTTGCCCTAAACTTGTCCCGAGTAGAATTGAAATATAATAAAGGCTTTTAGCTAAGTATATAAATTAGATACGAACTCTTTATAGACTCTTTACGGACGGTATAAGAAGAAAAATAGCCTATAAGTAAGTCAAAAGCTAAGTAAAACCTTGTAATATTTCTGGATATACTATATTACTCGTATAATTTATATTAGAGAGTAAAAGAATATAAAGCCCTGCCTATAAGATTACCTATAAGGCTACTATATAGAACTGGCTATAAGAAAAGACCGGTAATTATAAATCCACTCTTATTACCTTAAATAATTGGCCTTATAACTTATTAATAGTTATTATAAAGAATAAAGCAAGTAGAAACTGCTTACGGGAAAGTATAAAAGATAGTTACTAATCTATTAACTAGAGCTTAATCCGTAGAATTATCCGTAATTAGTTATTAAAATTACTATCTAATAGCTATACCCGAATCGAGAACCTCCCAAAGCTATAAATCAATATTTGTAACCCGTTATAAAGCCCTTTCTATAAATAGAGATTTCGCAAGAATATTACAGGTATATTAATCTTGAATTATAGCTTAGAAAAAAGTAGATCCGGTAAATAGATACTTTATAAAACCTCTGGAAGTAATTTAGTAATCTCAGGATCTGCCTTATTTATATTAGCCAAATTTACTATAAAATATATTTATTTCTAACTAGGAAATATATCTAGAATTATTTAGTTAAGCTTATAAACTATATTATTTAGAATTAATAGAATTACTTATTTACTAAAGGCCCGGTAATTATACGGGGCCTATAAAAGTTACTTTTATAGGTAAATATAATTAATTAGGTCTATAACTAACCCGGTATATAGGATAAAAGGCAAAAATATAATCTGCCCGTTTAGAAACAAGTTATATAGAAGACTACTAATTTAGTCTATAAAATCCTACTCGAACAGGTTATTACAGACCCGTATATTAATCCGTAATAATAACTAATAGAGCTATAGCCAGATTTATATTTACTATAGACAGGCCCGTACTATATTAGCCTATAAATTATATAAGACTACTAGTAAGATCTGGGTAAAGTTCTTTCCGAGAATTACAGGTATTTCTCTAAAGAGAATATTATTCGTAACCGACTATAAATTAATTATTAGCCGGTATATTACCTTAAAGTAGTACTTGTATTATATAGGTATCTTGTCCCAGATAATTAGATCTATAGATTACAAGAATGCCCCGAACCGGCTTATCTTAGTAATTATACTTATAAATAACTTATTAAGCTCGAGTAGAATCCGGAACTAGAAGTAAGATATATATTTATTCGGGAGAAAAAAAGCTATAATACCTATTAATACTATATATAGAATAACCTTACTTTAGTTATAATAATAATAGTAAAGAGTCTTATAGAGAAATATCTTACTAGTTCCGCTCGGGTTCTATAAATAGAAGTAAGCCATTTATAAATTATTTATAATTATAACTATAATTATCTAAAAGCAAGAGTACTAGTTATATTTAGCTAGGCTTATATTATAGTTACTAGTAATGTCTTATAAATATAATTAACTTATAGATTAGCTATATAATAGCTTATAGTCTAGTTAAAGGTATTCTCAGGTAAGGCAATATTCGTAAGTATTTACTAAAGATCTATAAGGCCAAGACTAAATAAAAAGAGGCTATAATTATAATAAGGATTAACTAAGGGTAATAGGAAGTTAATTAACGAATTATAGGCGAGCTTATAGGCCAAGTTATTATAGAAATATTTCTTATACTAGTTCTAGATTACTTATATATTTGTAATTAGCTACTAGTAAATATTTATAAGAAAGAATATCTATAAACCATAGCCGGTTATTAATTAGATAGCCTTATTTAAATATTAGAACTATTTCTAATTATTTTTTACTAAGCTATAAGTAATATAAGTAATATAATATATAGAATAATAGATATTCTTAACTAAATAGAGCTTATTAAAAGACTACGAACTATATATAACTATTAGTAAGAGCTATAAATAGAACTACTTACTTAAAACCAGGCTATAATAATAAATATAGCTAATATTATACTTTTATTTATAGGATTTCTATATCCGGATCTTAGTAACCTATATAAAATACTATAGGAACTTATAATAGAAATACTAGTAGCTGTTCTTATATATTATATTATACTTAAAAAAGGCTATTAAAATTAAACGGATATTTGTAGCCCGGTTTATAACTTATTTGAATAAGAAATTAGCTATAAAACAGATTATATATTATCTAGGAAAATGAATTATAAGATATTAAACTAGAGAAAACTCCAAATATATTAGGTATTTAAATAGGTATTAGAAAGCCTCTATAGGGCTTATATATTAAGCCTAGAGATACTAGATAATCTTATTATTTATTCCCGAAATAGCTATAATTATATAGTTTATTTCTTTATAAATATATTTATATAGATATATAAACCTTAATATTAATATATAAGCGGAACTTCTAGAAGAAATATAGGTTATATGAAATAATCTAGTAGTTATTACAGACAATTTCCTAGTCTAGAAAGCCTGATTTATAGATTATAAATATATAACTATTATTCTAATACTAGTATTCGGGATATCTATTATTATAAATAATTATTATAGCTATAAATATCTTAGAAAACCTCTTCTAATATATAAGCGGGATTATAGATATATTATAGACTATATACAGGGCTTTCTAATTATTATTAAGGCTATATAACCTATAAAATATCTGACTAGTAATTATAGCTATAAGTTTACTTATAGGATCCTATAATAAGTCTAAGAGCTCGGTATAAACTATCTCATTAACTAAATCAGGAATTAAGAAAACGGTATTTCTCCTAAGAAATAAGAATAGATATATATATAAAAGGCTATACTTCTAGTACTTAATTATATAGATATGGCCTATATATTATTCGAAAATATAGTTCTTAAGATTTATAAAGAGCTCTCTTATTTTTAGAATAAAGATCCGGTAAAGAAGATCCGGATAGTTAATTATTTATTACCTATTTAAAAGATAATTTATAATCTCAGGCTAGTATAAGTTAGCTATAAAGGTAATAAAAAAGCTTGGCTTACTAAAGTATTATATAATAGCTATTAAGTCTTAAAAGAGCTACTATATAAAGTAATTATTACCTATAAAGCTAGATAAAATAATAAAATAATAACTAATATTATTTATATAAATATTCTTATAAATTAGAATATTTATAAATCTTATATAAATATTTATATAGATATTCTACTAGTATAAATAAAGCTAGTTAAGTAAGGTAATTTTATAAGTAATATATATATTAATAATATATTACTAGAAAAAGTAACTAGTATAAAAGAATAAGGAAAAGGCTAGATAAATATAGAAATAGTACTAGTAAAAGGCCTATTATTCGAGCTATATTTACTAGTAAGTTCCGGTATAGTTCTATAATTATAATTCGTAGTACTAGCCCGGATTACTATATAGGAAAAATAAGATATAATAAAATAATATATATATTATATATATCTATAAATACTTATAGCCTGTCTTATAAACTATTAGTATTAGATTATAATAGCTCGCATTTATATACTTGTCCGAAATTAGAATAGTAATCTTATTATTTATAAAAAGGTTCTTATAATAATAATCCGTATTTAATTTGAGAATTAAATATATTTATAGGTTAAATAAGATCCGGAAATTAGTTTACTAGCTTATAAGATACTTGCAAGCTATCTTATAGATTATAATAAACGGATTATAGTTCGTAAATATATTTATAAGCTATAAAAGAATTATATAATCTAAGTAAGAGAAGTTAGTAGCCCGGATATTAGTTATAAAGAGTAGGTTATAGAAGAAAAGCTATATAAAGAAAGATTCGATATATAGAGTAGGCTATAGCAGGCCTTAGAAATAAAAGAGCTTATTATAAATCTGAAAGTACTAGATCTTATAAGAGAAATTAATCCGGGCATTCTTCTTATAACTAATTAATATAAAGGCAAAAGTATAATTATATATCCGGATATTTGTCCGGAAAGCCCGGTAAAGCGAGTTATTACTTATAAAGAGGTAAGAGAAGTATAAAGAAGGCTTATAGATTAGAGGAAGTATAATATTACTTTTCTTATAATAGGCCTTAAAGCAATTATTTATATAACTAAAATAAAGGGCTCTATAAGCTATATAGTAACTTATAAGCAGACCGGTTATATATACAAGAGCCGGCCAGAAGTAAGAGAAAAAGACAGGAGGCTATATAATAGGTAAGTTAATAAGAGAATTCTTTATAATATAAACTAGGGCTATAATAGATAGTTAACGGATCTGTCACTAGTATTATAAGACTGGCTCGTCTATAGAAACGTCTATAATTAACCGTTATTATTACCGGGAGAAAGAAAGAGTATTTGAATTAAGTTCTTATAAGGCAAGATACTACTAGATATAATTACTAGTATTTCGGGCCTATTAACTAGTTAATTAAGCCAGAAAAGGGAAAGAATATAAACTCGATAATAAGAGTAAGTTTTATATAGCTTAGCCCGCTCTATAATAAAGTCAGAAGCAGGCCGGTTCTACTTATAGGAAGTATAAAAGCAGGAAGGATTTATAGTAATAAAGAGAAGAAAGAAAGGAAAGTAATATAAGGCCAGGGTTTTCTTTCTTAGTACTTTCTATAGAACTACTAGCTTTAGATTTCCCCCCGAGCTTTAAAAAATTATAATAAAAGCCCCTTATATTCCAGAACTACTAAAATATAGAGAAAGATACTTGAGCTTCTCTTCTTTTATTCTAAGCTAAGTCCTAAGGATTTGGATATAATTACATTCTAATATATAATTTCCTAGAAGGGGGCAATTCTAGTATTCCTTACGTAACTAGTTTTTTTTAAGAAGCCCTGTGAGCCAACTACTTAGGGTGGCCTGTATATAGAATAATATAGAGAAAATTAAGTCTATTATATAATTTAGATATAATAAGAGTATCTTGAGAGAAGAGTTTGCCCTTAATAGTCGAGGAAGCCTAAGAATATATTGAGGTTCTACCTTGCTTACCAAGCCTTGCTACTACTTAATTAGGTAGTATAGTAGTACTAGACTCGGGCTATCCCGGAGCCTTACCCAATTAGGCTAAAGAGATCACGTGTAATATCACGTGCGTACTACTCAACTACTCTAGAATATTCTAGAGTAGTTGAGTAGAGTATTAAGTAGAGTATTGAGTAGAGTATGAGTAGTGAGAAATTTATTTGAGTAGAATATGAGTAGGGCCCACTACTCTACTCTACTCTACTCATTTCCCACACTGTTCACGTCAGTATATTGACCACATTGTGTAGATTAGTTTTGGGATAAGTACCTCATCGTAACCGCTATCACGATCCTGATAGAAACCAGCGTCTTCGTCCATGGAAGTTCTGTTTTTACGAAGGGCACCTCATCTGCCTCAATAATTGGCTCAATTTTCGCATCATTTATCATGACACTTTCTTGGCCGGCCTTCCCCTCTTCTGGTGCTGTGGCCTCAAGAGGAAGAATTTCGATCGTTGCTGCCGTCGCGTTGTTTAGGTGTTGAGGTTTGATGATTCTGGCCCGAGGTATTCCCTCCTCTGATTCTATTGTGTGGACCTTCTCCGCGCTCTCACCTAGCAATCGAGTTTCGTGTCCCCGGGAGAAATTTCAAGTACGGGTTTATATCATATCATGCCTGCAAGTTTCTTTCGGTTAGTAGAGGGAATAATGTTCTCTTTGACAAGGAAGTATTCATGACTAGGGGTCCCTGATTTTGACCATGAGGCGGGATGGTGAGACCTACATGCACGCCGCTCAAGTTTGCCTTGGGGAAAGCCTTCCTTGCGGCTAAATATCCCTGTACCGTGGCGAAAAGGGGTATCACGGGCAGTGTGAACAATGAGTAGAGTAGAGTAGAGTAGTGGCCCCTACTCATATTCTATTCATCAAAAATTCCCACTACTTATATTCTATTTATATTCTAATCAAGCTATTTATGAATATTCATGAATACTTTGAGTAACGTGCACGTGACGCATGCACGTGACAGGCTAGCTTTGTTAGGTAAAGCCCCGGGCACTCCCGCTCTAGCGCCACCTCGCTACCTAATTAAGTAGTGGCGGCGCTTGGTAAGCGAGCCGAATCTCCATGATACTTCTAGAATTACCTTGACTTAAGAACTTAATAATAATAGTAATTCTATCAGCAAAAATCAGGAATTAGGAGACTAGAATCTCCGAAATAAAGGGATTCTTTCTAATTAGAAGAATAATTAAGAAGCCCTTAGAATATTAGAACTTTCTATAAGAACATATTAATATCCTCGATTTTTATTTCTTCCTTATACTTTAATTTTATATAAAACCTCTACTATTACTCCTATTAATATACTTTTTATTATAAATATACTTATTTATACTCGATATATTCGAAAATGTCTTAATAATTCTTAATTAAGCTTAATTTAGTTCAAAATTACCCTGAGTTTAAATTAAAATTCCTTAATAAATAAGCTTCTTTCTTTAAGAAAAACTACTTAAAAAAGATATTAAATACTATTTAAGAGAATTCCCAAGAAACTTATATATATACTATAAAGTACTTAGTTCAAGGTTATTTATAAATTAATATATTAATTTTTAATAATTTTTTACTAATTAATATAATAGAAAAATATAAATAAATTAATAAATATATATTTCTATAAGTAATTATTATATTTATTTTCGAGACGTATATTAATTTATTAATATTACTAGTTTTAAAAATAGTAATAATAATAGTAAATTATTTAATATTAATTAAAAAGCTTTATTTACTAATATATTTAATAGGCAAAAATAAAAGCTCTTTTTAAGTCTCTTAATCTATTATAAATAGTCTTTTTAATAAGTAATCGGGTTAAAGAAAAGAAAGCTTTATTATTAATTACTTTAAGAAACTATTATTAAGTTTTATAATTAATAATAATATCTCTTTTTAAATAGTAAATATACTAGATTTTAAATTACTTTTAAAGTATTTAATTAGTAAATATTATTATATTCTTTATTATTATTATATATACTAATATTTAATAATTAAATATTATTTTTATATTTAAAAATACTTATAGATAAGCTTAATTTAAGCTATATTAAAAAGAGTTTAAATATTAAAAATAAATTTCTAGAAAATATTAAATCTTAAGAAACCTTTTCTATTACTTTAGATACTATTACTTTTATAAATTAAAAGGCCTTTCTTGGAATTACTATATAAGTTTATATATTTCTATAATTATTAAATGAAATTTATACTAATATATATTTTAGATATTTTATAAATAAGGATTTTATATTAAAATCTTATTTATTAGCTATAAGAGATTTAAATAATATATACTCTGGTATTTATATACTTTCTGTTTTATTAAAAGCTTTAAAATAATATAATATTAAGTATAATATTACTAGATAAGTAATTCTAATTAAATTTTTAAATAATTTATATTAATATATCTTTTTTAGTATTACTCGAGATAATACTAGCTTAAATAATACCTTATTAAAGGCTTTTATAAAGTATTATAATAAGAAAGGCATTAAATTTTAAGGAGATATTTCTTATATAAATTATATATTAAATTTAGTAGTTTAAGATATTTTAAAAGCTTTTATTAAGAATAATTATAATATCTCTTATCTACAGATTTATATAAATATGAAATAGAAGAACTTAAAGATAGAGAAGAAGAAAGAGAAATAGAATAAGTAATAAATAAATTCCCTTTATAATTTATAAGAGTTTTATTAATAAATTATAGATTTATTAATTTAGAAAAAGGTTCGAAAAACTATTATAAGTATTAAATATAATTAAGAAAACCAATGGCTATTAGAAGCTTAAATTAAAGCTTTTAATATAGACAATACTCGATTTCTTTAACTTAGTAAGTAATTAATTAATTAATTATTTATTTATTAGTTAATACTAATTATTTATAAATTAAAAAATACGGTGGTTTTTAACTTATTATATATTAAAGAACTTTATATATATATATATATATAAAGCTATTAAAGTAGTTATTAATAGCTCTAATTCGAAGGCTTTTAAAAATAAAAGTCTAGTTTTAACTAATATTAAAATTATTTATTTAAATAATATTTTAAATACAATTTCAATATTTATTAAAGCTATAACTAAATTACAAGCCGAAAATTATTTGACTATATATTATATTATATCTGAGATATATAAAATATATAATAAACTTGAAAATTTTAAAAAGGAATTTAAAATAAGTCTTTTCTTAAATTCTTCTTATATTATTATACTAATTTTTAATAGAATAAAGTATTTATAGATACTATTAATAAGGGTATAGCTAAGCTTCGAAAATATTATCCTAAAATAGGTATTTTAGATAATAAAAATAAAGTATTATATTTAGCTCTTATTCTTAATTCTCGAATTAAATAAGAAGAATTAACTAGTATTGGCTTATTTAATAGTATGTCTTCGGATATATATAATAGATTAAAGACTGATTATAATATATAAGTAATTTCTTTAATTATTTTTTTAATAAATTAATAACTAATTTTATATTTAGATATAAATATAATTATAATATATCTTAAGCTAGATCTGATTTCTCGGATATTAGTATGGCCGATTCCGACGAAGATGACTTAGATATATATATTACTAATAAGTCTTCTAATATAGAAGACGAATTAGTAACTTATTTAGAAGAAAAGAGAGAAGATAGAAAGGTAAGTAAACTTTACTTAAATTCTATTAAATAATTATCCGATATTCTCTTAATATTTTTTTATATATTAGTACTAATATATATATAGATTAAGCCTTTAGATTATTGGAAGTCTAATGCTGCTAGATTTCCTGCTTTAGCTTTAATAGCTAGGAAATATTTAGGAATTCTAGCTTCTTTGGCTCCTAGCAAGAGATTCTTCTCTCAAAGCGCTCTTATTATAACTAAATTACAAAATAGACTTAATAAGAGTACTTTTGAGAGAATAACTTGCTTAAAAAGTTGGGGGTTATTTAAAGACGAATTAGAAGAGGCTAAAAAAGAAGAGAAAAGGGGGGAGAAAAAGGAGAAAAAACAAGATTCTGAGGAGGATAATTAGTTTATTATTATAGAAAATTAGTATTTAAGTAGCCTTATATAAGTACTAGCTTAGTTTATATAAGGCTGCTTAATAGGTACCTTAATTCTTTTTTTAAAAATTAAATATATATTGATTTACTAAAATCACGTAATTTCCACGTGACTATTTATGAATATTCATGAATATATATTCTACTCTACTCAAATTTTTTGAGTTTTACGCTACTCATATTCTATTTAAGACTACTCATGAATATTCATGAGTAGTATGAATACCTTGAGTATTTCTTGCTCACACTGATCACGGGGTTGAAGCCAACAAAAGGTTTGAAGTAAAACGTGCGTTCTCTGCTGGGCGGGGGCTGGGGACTGTGAGCTGTGTGCTGTGGGCTTCGTGTGCCAGCCAACAGATTCCATGTCGCCCGCATGTGCAGAGTAGATTGAGGATTGCCAGCAGCAGAAGCGCAGCGATATTTTCTGGTTGAGAAAGCTTGGCCCTTCATATAATTACATATTTATGCCTTACTTGCTACTTCAATAAGAACCGCCTCCGAAGCTCCGAGACTTACTTGGCCCTTATTATATTTCTCTACCATCAAATTTCCAACCCCAGCACCAGTATCAAAGTTCTGCCCAGCCCAAGTGACATTGCCCGTTGCAGTACTATCCACACCAGTAAATCTCCGTACGCTCACACGTTGACCCAAGACTGCAGAGACATCTATATCCTGAGCCACCGGCCTAGCCGTTGTAGCATCAAAAAACTCGAGGTTTAGCGCTATGATTTTCCGCACGGTGTTACCTGAGTAAAGGGCGTACAATGACAAGCTTTCGGATTCAAACGCCGACAGCTCCTCAATCCTAGGGTTTGAGATGTCGCCAATTGCGTCCGCGATGAAGAGTAAGGAATAGTATCTATCTATCTATTAGTGCTCATACGGCATGTTATGATTGCGTGTGACTTACGTGGGCCACACAACAGCAGGCGTATTATTATAAACCACAGGTTGCCACATGGAATAATAAAAAGGGGTACCAGCATGGAAATACACGCTCTGCATTCCCAAAACCGCACCATGTAACATATAGTCCAATGACCACAACGTTGCCCCTAAGCTATTAGAGACTCCTTCCTTTCCGTGACAGGAAACACTGCCTGTTTCACCAATCACGAAAGGGATGGACTGTGACTTTGCGGCTGCGATTTCACTTGCCCATTGTGAGAAATACTGGACGGTGTTTATATGATTCATTAGATTCGGCAAGGACACCAAAGCTGCTCGTTTCGCTGTGTTTTGATATTAGTAATTTGAAACCCGGTGTTGGAAAGAGTATACCTACAATCGCAAATTGAAAAAGGATACGTATGATCAGAAAGGCTGGTCACATGTCCTATCTTGGTAGCGACTCCCATCTGTCTCAATTCCACCAGAGAAAAATTACCCATATAAATGGGTTCTTGTGCAAAAGCACCAAGCTGTACCGAAAGAGTCCTCTTAGTGGCATGATGGATTTGCGAGTGCCAGTCCACAACCTGCTGAGCATATATCTGCACATTCCATCCATGCGGTCGCTGAACATTGAAAAAGTCCGGTTCGTTTCCTAACTCAAAGCTCCGGAGCCGCTCGGGCCTGAGATATTTCTCCGCTGCCACCACTTCAGAAAGAGGGAATTGAACATCGTCCTGTCCCAGATTTAGGCCAAAGATGAACTGCTGTTTCGATGGGACGTTGTTATTCAACACTTCGAACAAGCCTTTGCTGAATGTTACGTTGACAGCTTCAGCATTGCCTGGTACGAAAATATTCGCCAATGTTGAGGCACAATTCTCGCAGTAACGGGCTACGTCTTGAGTATGGCCCCCAATACGGATGACAGGGGGCGCACCGATTCGATCTTCGATGTTTTGGAGCAATTGGCGAGAAAACGTATTTGGTGAACCAAGGTCGCCGAGATAGTCGATAATGTAGCAGAATTCTATGGACAGAGCTCCGATTTCGCGGGAGATTGAAATAGTTGGTCCGTTGCTTTGGACTCGGATGGGCGCGTTGATCGTTGTGGAGTCGGTGGCAGTACAAGTCTGACAGAACAAATAAATGAGAGAGGATACAGCAAGGAACTGAGACTTTAGCTTATACATTTTTATTTGCTACTTTTGCATTCGCTGCTTGCTAACTTGAATCTACTATGAGAGGTCTTTGATAGTTTAAGTAAACAAAGTTGACGCGGAGAATTAACGGTGGAGAGTTAACGGCGGAGAATTAACCTCCGTCGTAACTCTACCCCGCCGGGCCCCAAGAAAAGCCAAGGTCCACCGTCCACCGTCCACCGCCTGCTCGTCCCTCAAATAACCTTGGCTTATCGGCTTAGCTAATATAAACAGTGCATTTTCAAAATCATTAATTCTCGGGGTTGTTTTTGCAAAAACGGTTTACTTAGAGCGACGAGGCAATAAAATCAAAGAAAGCAAATGAACCATTGTTTATTATTCATAACATTGCTGCTTCAGAAGGAGGCAGTGCATCAAGATGTGAGTTTCTCACCACTCAAAGTCGATACAATCTCTCTATGGCGCTCTAAGTCCATTGCACCACCCGAATACGCATGAAGTCTTTAGCCATCAGATCGGGTCCACACCGGCCCACCCTCGTATGTCATAGTCGAAATCATCTCATTCGGAGACCACTCTTGGCAGCACAGACGTAGAACTCAGAACGAGGCCCACACACGACCCCCGCAATATCGAATTTCATGGGCCGTGCTCCGTTGGCCTCAAACACACATACTGGTGCAGCCCAGTAACCTGCTAACTTAAGAACGATATATCAAAGGACAAGACCCTGCACCCGGCAAGTATGCCAGGGGCGTCCATCGAATATTTAGCTCTAGCGGGAAGGGAGAAATCGGTTGGTCCCTTTAACCTAATCAGCATCTTCATAAGATACTCCACAACGAATCCGTGCCATTGCTACGAGGAGAGTCAAATAATAACATAAAGAGGCTTTAACCTCCCCTATTACTAATCGCGCGGTATTCTGCCGTTTTCGCGTATTCCCATTAAATAAGCGAGGTATACTTTTATGCAAATTTCAATGACATACAAGTTGATTTTTTTATTAGAACTCGTACACGGTTTCGTTTCGGAATCGACAATTATCCGTTTGCCATTGAGAGGTCATTTCCTGATAAGTGTCTCGGAATTTCGGAGGAGGATGCGAAGGGGCTAAAGAGACTAGATTGATTGATAATTGGTACCAAGCCGGCACAGCTGGCCGAGGACGTGTTGGTAGTTGCACGCTAGCCATATCAAATGTAAGATTTGGCTTGGCACCGGCAGGACCTTCCAATCTCTACATTAGCAATAGATCTTGACCAGCTAATTGGAGCGAAAATATATTGGGACAGTGATGCATAGTGTCTCGGAGCCTCCATTTGACCTGAGATTAGTACATAGAAGATATGAGAGAAAGAGCTTATATATCATTTAATAATTAGTAACATATTTGCGAGGTTATCTAGTTATTTCGGGTAATTTTCTTGAGGATAAAGCTAAATTAAGTTAGGTAAAGTATTGCAAATAGAGCAAGTAAATATCTATCCTTTTTATATACTTTAAATTACTCAAACTAATAATTATACTAGTAAGTTCCTCTTCAATTCCCGGAGCCCCAAAGTCTAAATCTCGTTACAGGAAACCCCAGTTTTTGGAGAACTTGTTTAGTACCAAATCCGGGCACCACTAATAATTATTGGTATTCGAAGTCAAAAAGCTAAGCTGCGGCCGCAGGAAGAAAACAAAGCTCGCCGATTTGCCATTGCGAAATGTGAACGCATTATACGTTGCCTTCGCCATGGTCTTACTTTAGGACAGATATTGAAGAATATATCCAGCTTAACAACACAGTGAAACCAGATTGATGCATCGCACGCCACAATTACCTGCTTGTGTTGTGTACTTTCCAAATTACTTATTAGGTAGTAATTATACTTGAACCCGATACAAATACAACCAGAACCGTCGCGTACCTACTCATTAATGCATTTTCATTCTTTCCTTGCCTTCTCTCGTATGGTCTTCGCACGCTGTGTCTTTGATATTCCCCGAGGTTTGGCGGAGCTCCTGGTTGGAACGGTCCGCTTCGGTTTTGATCGCACTGCACGTTTGGAGGGATCCGTGGAAACCGTCCTGGTTGGATCCTTAGCTACGCTAGGGACAAGGGGCTGTATCCGTTTGCTTCTGCGCGGAGTTACACGGTCAGGCGAAGGCGAGAGCTGCGGTTCTCCTGCATCCAGATTAGAAGACAATGGTAAGCCATCAGAGGACACCTTTTGTGAGATATTCAGTCGCCGTTGAGGCCCCTTTCTCTTTCCAACGGCTTTTGAGGCCTTTGATGAATGGACTAGGCCAAGAGATGCGTTTGCTGGCTGCCCCCGACTTTCTGCGATTTCAGTTCGACTGAACTCGAATTGATCGAAATGTAATGTGTATTCAAGTTTTGGTCTTCACGTCCTCGATATTTCAATACTGATTCAAGACACACATTATCATCGCCGATTAGAATTAGAATTAACGTCTACTTGATACGTAATCGGATTAAATAAATATATCCAGCAGCAGTGAAACTCCAAGTTTAGTTTAATTCAAAGAATTGGGATGTCTGTAGAAGTCTGTATTTCGAGGTATTGTCGATCAATTTTCTCTCTTTTCTGCTTCCCATGGAGTTAGTAAGCTTGCCGCTCTTGCTCAGGCGCTAATCACCCTCGGCTCAGTCGACTCGCCTGAGTAACCTGAGCACCCTGAGCACCCTGAGCAAGATTTACCACATTATACGTGTTTTGAATTCTTGCTTTTTAACTAATCATACTTGATCTAACCTGTATTCTCTTATATTACTTTTGTCAAGTTTTAATAACGATATTCAAGGAGCCCAAACAAGTTTCTAAGAAATCCAAAGTAGATACTTTCTAAAAATATACTTAGTATTTTACTTATAGTATAAGTTAGATTAATATGGATATTCCTAAGAGAAGTACTTCTTTTTCCTCTATAAATTCCTTCCTGCTTTATACTTGTCTTAATCTAAATATCTCTTTTCTCTAATCTTATTATTTAATTAATTTTTTAAATCTCTTTATAAAATTCGTTCAATTAATTATATTTTATTTATTACTTTATATAAATTACTATTTTAGTATTCTTAATATCTAAAAAGAAGCTAATAGAAAAGTTCTTTATATAATTCTATAATAAAGGCTCTAGTATTAAATCAGAAATTATTAATAGAAAAAAGATAAAAAAGGATTTCTAGCTAGAAATAAAGAAAAATTATATTTATATTTTAGTATACTAGAACTAATAAGGGCTATTTTCTGATTTCTAATAAAAATTTCTTCTAATACTTTTTTCTTTACTAAATAGATTTAATCTCAAATATTCTAGAATTATTTTAGATAATATAGAAATATTAAAAGATTAGACCAGATATATTATATATAGTATTATAAATATCTATAATAATAATATTACTAGACTTGGCTCTATTATTTATTTATAAAAGAATTTTATAGCAGGCTAGTAATAGGCTAAATAGAAACCAAAAATAGATTCTAAAATTATTATTACTATTTTAAATATAAGTTCCGGAAATAGCCTTTTTAAATTTTTAAATTATTATATATAATTACTAATAGAATATAATTTATAAAAGGCTTTTTATAAAAGGAAATTAGGTTATATTATAGAAAACAAGAAAGGAAATATAGTATAATAATATAATTCTAGTTAAATAATTAATATATTTATAAGAAGCCAAGAATTAAATTAGAAATATAAGACTAGTTATAAATACAAGTATTTATATTAGTAAAGGTTAGCTAGTTTATATAATTAAATTACTATTCTGGATTAGATTAAGGCTTTTATTATTATATAAGTCTTCTATATTCTTAAATTCTTTTAAGGTTTAGTAAATAACTAATAGCTATTTTATTAGAATATTACTTTTAGGATATTTTAAAATAAGAATAAAAAAGCAGACTTTATAATATAAATTATATAAGATACTAAAAATATAATATTAAAATTAGATAAAAGATAAAATTTTATTATTTTATATTATAAAGCTATTCTTTAAAAACTAATTGTAAAATAGACTAGAATATTATAAAAAGAAACTATAATAAAATTAGAAATATAAATAATAAAGTATAAATAGTATATAGTATATAAAAGCTTAATTAATTAAATATAAAAAAGAAATTATTATCTAGAACTATAAAAAAGCTAGCTTTTTTATATGATTTTTATAAGTTATATAAAAAAGGCCCTAGTTTTTATTATATAACTAAAATATTAAAACTATTAAAATAAGGCAATTTTAATAAAATATAGCTTGCTATATTAGAATACTTATTATATAAAGGCTTATAACCTTAATTATTCTTTTATAATCTAATTCTTATATATTTTACTAAATTTATTATAAAAAGAATTTTTAGAAATTATAAAACTATAAATAAGCTTTTTAGTTTCGAATTGCTTGAAAATAAGATATTTTAACTTTATTAGAATCTAGAAATTCTTAATTTACTCTTTTTCTAGAAAGATAATAAAGAAATTAATATAGTAAATATATTTAATAAATATATAAAAGAGCTAAGCTTTTATTTTAAATATAAATTTCCGCTTATAATTTATAATTTTAAAATAAAATATTTATTTCTTATTAATATATTTTACTAATAATTATTAGACAGATTTATTTTTAAAACTAATATATTTATAAATAAGCTTTATTTAATAACTTAGAAAATAAAATATAGAAGTTATACTAATAAAAATACCTATTATAATTATTATATATCTAATAACTAAAATAGCTACTTTAGCAATAAGCTATATAATATTATTAATAATAGATTTTGGTTTATAAATTTATATTATAATTCTAAATTTTAGTAATTTTTCCTAATAGAAAAATAATATAAACTTAAAAGTAATCCAGAGTTTATTACTATTAAATAGAAGCTAGAAGCTCTATTTCTAGATTCTAGAAATAATTTAGCTATTATAAATTAATAAAAGAAAGTATATATAAATAAAAGAAAGCTTATTACTAAAAAGCTTTATAAATATTAGAA